GCTATGGGTAGTGTTTAGTCCTATGGGTAGTGTTGAGTCTATGGGTAGTGTTGAGTCTATGGGCAGTGTTGAGTCTATGGGTAGTGTTAGTCTATGGTAGTGTTGAGTCTATGGGTAGTGTTAGTCTATGGGTAGTGTTGAGTCTATGGGTTAGTGTTAGTCTATGGGCAGTGTTAGTCTATGGGTAGTGTTAGTCTATGGGTAGTGTTGAGTCTATGGGTAGTGTTAGTCTATGGGTAGTGTTGAGTCTATGGGTAGTGTTAGTCTATGGGTAGTGTGATCTATGGGTAGTGTAGTCTATGGGTAGTGTTAGTCTATGGGCAGTGTTAGTCTATAGGAGTGTTAGTCTATGGGTAGTGTTAGTCTATGGGTAGTGTTGTCTATGGTAGTGTTAGTCTATGGGTAGTGTTAGTCTATGGGCTAGTGTTAGTCTATGGGCAGTGTTAGTCTATGGGCTAGTGTTAGTCTATGGGCAGTGTTAGTCTATGGGTAGTGTTAGTCTATGGGCTAGTGTTAGTCTATGGGTTAGTGTTGAGTCTATGGGTAGTGTTGAGTCTAGGGTAGTGTTAGTCTATGGGTAGTGTTAGTCTATGGGCAGTGTTAGTCTATGGGTAGTGTTAGTCTATGGGTAGTGTTTAGTCTATGGGCAGTGTTAGTCTATGGGTAGTGTTAGTCTATGGGTAGTGTTAGTCTATGGGTAGTGTTAGTCTATGGGTAGTGTTAGTCTATGGGCAGTGTTAGTCTATGGGTAGTGTTAGTCTATGGGTAGTGTTAGTCTATGGGCAGTGTTAGTCTATGGGCAGTGTTAGTCTATGGGTAGTGTTAGTCTATGGGCAGTGTTAGTCTATGGGCAGTGTTAGTCTATGGGCAGTGTTAGTCTATGGGTAGTGTTAGTCTATGGGTAGTGTTAGTCTATGGGCAGTGTTAGTCTATGGGCAGTGTTAGTCTATGGGTAGTGTTAGTCTATGGGTAGTGTTAGTCTATGGGCAGTGTTAGTCTATGGGCAGTGTTAGTCTATGGGTAGTGTTGAGTCTATGGGTAGTGTGAGTCTATGGGTAGTGTTGAGTCTATGGGTAGTGTTAGTCTATGGGCAGTGTTAGTCTATGGGTAGTGTTAGTCTATGGGTAGTGTTAGTCTATGGGCAGTGTTAGTCTATGGGCAGTGTTAGTCTATGGGTAGTGTAGTCTATGGGTAGTGTTAGTCTATGGGTAGGTGAGTCTATGGGTAGTGTTGAGTCTATGGGTAGTGTTAGTCTATGGGTAGTGTTAGTTATGGGTAGTGTTAGTCTATGGTAGTGTGAGGTCTATGGGTAGTGTAGTCTATGGGCAGTAGTGTGAGTCTATGGGCAGTGTTAGTCTATGGGTAGTGTGAGTCTATGGGCAGTGTTAGTCTATGGGTAGTGTTAGTCTATGGGTAGTGTTAGTCTATGGGTAGTGTGAGTCTATGGGTAGTGTTAGTCTATGGGCAGTGTGAGTCTATGGGTAGTGTTAGTCTATGGGCAGTGTTAGTCTATGGGTAGTGTTAGTCTATGGGCAGTGTTGAGTCTATGGGCAGTGTTAGTCTATGGGTAGTGCTAGTCTATGGGTAGCGTGAGTCTATGGGCAGTATGTGTGTTGAACTTCATTCGCACCGTACGTAGCCAAACCGTGCCAATCGGAGGTGCGGGGGGATGGATCGCCGCAGCTCGGGGGAGATGGATCAACGAAAATCAGTCCACGTTGCATCTCAAGGATCGTGAGAGATGTGGGCCGCCTGCATCCAGCAGTAGATAAGATCACGGCTCGGCTAACGACGGCGATCATGAATTCATGATCATGTTGAAGTGCACTCACTGATTGCTACATTTCTGCAGTGTAGTCGATTTCTCGGAATCGAGTGCCACCAGCCCGGAATCGATTCCTCCGCACATCACTCTCGCAGAGAGATGCGGGGGGGGGGGGACACAGCGGAAAGGGAGTGTACCATTGCGAGCTTAACACGGGGGGAGATTACACACGTCCGGTTGATAGCGGTGCCATCGGCTCAAGGGATCCCCCCATGGGTGTAATGGTACATCCCACAAGCCCATTGAGATTTGCCCGTGAGTTCGAGCACATGTGTGCTCTGTGCATGTGGCCACGGCGTACAACAATAACGTAGTGACGACTACTCACGATGTCCTGTCACTACTCAGTGGCTATCGCTCTGGCCATGGGCTATCTTGGTCTTCATATTCTTAGGTTTTTTCGGTAAAGTCACGTAGGTAAAACATTAAAATTAATAATGTTTTACCTACGTGACTTTACCGAAAAAACCTAAGAATATGAATCCTTGCAGTCACGAAAGCTTCAAGTCTAGAATTATCTTGGTCTTCTTTAGCACGGACCTGCATTGATGCAGAGCAACAACTGCAATTTCACGTTTTCAGTTTCATGTATTCGGTGTGGCCCTGAGAGCCATTCGGCTCTTGAATCGGGTGCAACCGCAACAAACAAAAACATGAAACACATTCCTGCGGAGGGAGCTGGTAGGAACGTCGGGTTGCTCGGTCAATGGCCTGCAGGGTCAACGGCGGCGTGGTGTATTCCGCAAATATGGCCGACTGTGAGGGCGGGCACAAGCCGGCGTGAGTAGGTGAAACGTTGAGTTTTATAAGGGCACCACGGGGTGACCAGCCCCTCAACATCCCTGCCCCACCCCTCCCACCCCCCACCCAGCCCCACCCCACCCTCCCCTCTCCACCCAGCCCCTCCCCACCCAGCCACTCCCCACCCCACCCTCCCCACCCAGCCCCTCCCCACCCAGCCACTCCCCACTCTCCCCTCCCCACCCAGCCCCACCCTCCCCACCCAGCCACTCCCCACCCCACCCTCCCCACCCAGCCCCTCCCCACCCAGCCACTCCCCACTCTCCCCTCCCCACCCAGCCCCTCCCCACCCAGCCCCTCCCCACCCAGCCACTCCCCACTCTCCCCTCCCCACCCAGCCCCACCCTCCCCACCCAGCCACTCCCCACCCCACCCTCCCCACCCAGCCCCTCCCTGCACGACGGACGGACGGACACAATAATCCCCTGTGGGCTGGTGGAACTAGTGGGTTGCTACCAGTATAAAGTTGTACAAAATCTTGCCTCGCACACCGGATTGTAAGACGCACCCCAATACAATTATACGAAAGTGACACTCGGCGCCTGGCGGGTGTGTGGAGATGGAACGAAGTCGCGCGATGAACGGCTTGAGGCTTGAGCAGAGGTCGCAACCGGGTACCCGATACCCGTACCCTACCCGATACCCGGCTACCCGTACCCTACCCGATACCCGTACCCTATCCGATACCCGTACCCTACCCGATACCCGGCTACCCGTACCCTACACGATACCCGTACCCTACCCGATACCCGTACCCTATCCGATACCCGGCTACCCGTATCCGGCCGGGTACGGGTAGCCGTTTGCGACCCTGGTGCGGCCGGGTACGGGTACAGGTATGCCGTGAGTCACTGGTGAGTCACCGTTTGTCACTCATTTCGGGTAGGGTACGGGTAGGGAACGGTTACCCGTACCCGGCCGGGTATTTGCGACCCTGGTGCGGCCGGGTACGGGTCCGGGTAAAGAATCAAAACCCGTTGGCGACTTTTGGGCTTGAGGGATGTAGAAACCAACTCATACTCTGGTGGTGGCATGGGTTGTGGGAGAGATGCAAGTGCGGAGTTGGCCTGATAGCTTGAAGCTAAATTGTCTTGTGGTTTCGATTTAAAGCTTTCGTGACTGCAGGGATTCATATTCTTGGTTCTTTCGGTAAAGTCACGTAGAAACGAAATAATAAAAATAAAACTATAAATTATCACGTTTTTCGACTGCAACACAAGCAATCATCATCAGGTGTGAAAACCACAGCAATAAAAAAAAGTGGCGTTTTTTAAAATTTTCTTGCTGTGGTTTTCACACCTGGTGATATATAGCAAAGCGTCCCCTTATGGACTATTAAGTTAATACATTTTGTTATTTTTTTTATAAAAAAAAAAAGATTGGAATCTTTAAATTGAGCGTTTTCCGATGGGTTCGTCTTTAAATGTAAGAAGAAGTTGAATTAAATCGTCAACGATTATTGTGGTGGTTTTTTTTTGCGGAAAAAAACTAAATGTAGCGATGGTTGTTAAGTTGCCCTCAACGTAGATACAAATTGTAACAAAAAAAATCACATCAGGTTAATTATTATATTTCTTGAAAACGTTTGCCTGGCGAAGACAGCCCTTTATGAACTAGTGTTACTATATGTTGTTTTCCCTTTTTAATGCAACAACGAAGCTAATTGGGGAATGTGTAAATCTGATCTTAAAGGTGCATTGAGAAATGTTGATACTCCGACTGATGCTCCTGCTGTTGTGGAGTGACTCATGCAGACAGCTATGGCTGCAGAGTTTGGTGGTACATGTTGTTGACGTTGTTTATTGTGAACATTCGGTCACAGTTTCTATGACCACTGTTTCATTGCTTTTATGGCTTTATTTTGGTGATTTTCGAAAAGTTTTTTCTTTTGGCCATGTGTGTTTGTTGTAGTACAGAGTTAGACTGATGGCCTTAATCTAAGTTGTCTTGTGGTTGTTGTTTGACTTGCATCCCACTGGGATTGTTGCACACAGCGTTGGTGTGTGCGGCGATTTTTCTGCAATATTTTGCTGTCTTTTCTTGGATTTTCTGTTTGCACTTAGTCACATATTCACTTGAAGATGTTTTTTTGTTCATGTTTTAGTTTTTTGTTTGTTGCGGTTGCACCCGATTCAAGAGCCGAATGGCTCACAGGGCCACACCTAATACATGAACTTGAACTTATTTATTAACATTTAAAATCGAGCACTTTGATCTGCATCAGCCACCGTAGTAGCCACGCGCGTGAGTTATAAATAGAACAGCGGGGTGAATCGATTCCATAGTTCAACATCCAAATCGATTTTCAATGTTAAACACGCGAATCGAAATGTAGGTGATTCTATTGTTTCCATTAATCGATTCCCGTCTTGGCGACACGCGTTCGCTGTGGGTCCTGCGGAACTCGCTCCACCGTAGATTCCACGCCCTCGTCATCGGGCCATGGTCAACCCACTGCTGGATGAAGTCGTCCTCACCACTCACCCCTCCACGTATATAATCCACATCCACCGCGAATCGATTCAGGAATCGGCGCGCGGCCACGGAGGAATCTAAACCAATGCACATCCATCCACGCCTGCTTAAGTGTTATTCTTTAAGCAACTTTTAGTTCGATTTGTGATCGTCTCGTAGCAGCAGCTTTAGCTCAACGTTCGCCCGTCGTTAGAGCTGCTATGAATTCTACGGACAATCATCGGCGCGGAGTCGCTGTTGCCACCGGTAAAGTCTAACGCTATAATCCGGTGTGTGCGTCTTATAATCCGGTTTGTGAAGGTGCGTCTTATAATCCGGTGTGTGTGAAGGTGCGTCTTATAATTCGGTGTGTCTGAAAGTGCGTCTTATAATCCGGTGTGTGAAGGTGCGTCTTGTAATCCGGTGTGCGTGAGGTGCGTCTTATAATCCGGTGTGTGAAGTGCGTCTTATAATCCGCTGTGTGAAGGTGCGTCTTATAATCCGGTGTGTGTGAAGGTGGGTCTTATAATCCGGTGTGTCTGAAAGTGCGTCTTATAATCCGGTGTGCGTAAGGTGCGTCTTATAATCCGGTGTGCGTGAGGTGCGTCTTATAATCCGGTGTGTGTGAGGATGCGTCTTATAATCCGGTGTGTGTGAGGATGCGTCTTATAATCCGGTGTGTGTGAAGGTGCGTCTTATAATCCGGTGTGTCTGAAAGTGCGTCTTATAATCCGGTGTGTGAAGGTGCGTCTTATAATCCGGTGTGCGTGAAGGTGCGTCTTATAATCCGGTGTGTGTGAGGATGCGTCTTATAATCCGGTGTGTGTGAGGATGCGTCTTATAATCCGGTGTGTGTGAGGATGCGTCTTATAATCCGGTGTGTGTGAGGTGCGTCTTATAATCCGGTGTGTGTGTGCAACTTTACCGACACGGCACAAATATGACGCGCTTGGCACGCTGCACGCGCCTGATGATTGGTGAACACGTCCCCTCATCATCACGGTGGCTAGGAGATGTTGACTACCTCGCATGGTACACAGGAGGTCGTGGGTTCAATCTTGGCTCTGACAACTGCTGCTGCTGTATATTTGGAGTCTGCGTGTCTCTCACTCTCATCATCACGGTGGCGAGGAGATGTTGACTACCTCGCCTGGTATACAGGAGGTCCTGGGTTCAACCCTGGCTCTGACAACTGCTGCTGCTGTATATTTGGAGTCTGCGTGTCTCTCTGCCCGTGATTTTTCTCCGGGTCCTCCGGTTTTTCCCCCTCCACTTTTAGAATCAACGTCACGCTTTTAGAGCATTTAGCGTCGACGCATTTCCACATGACGATAAGCCGCCACTTAGTTGAGCAATCAGACGTGGCCAGGCTGCTTCCGAACAAGAGCTCCATATAGCTCAGCGGGCGCTTAACCGGTAAAATGAAGAAATAAAGAAGTTTATGATCTTAAAATGGAAAAGTAAAAATAGGCGACGTTTCGCCAATAGCTCGAGAGGGGTCAGAGAGATGGAGTGGAGAGATCTAATTCTAGATTTGAAGCTTTCGTGACTGCAAGGATTCATATTCTTAGGTTTTTTCCAGTAAAGTCACGTAGGTGAAAAATTTAAATTACAGCTATCGTGCTGTGACGGTTCCACCAGAAAGTCAAAGCTTGTGTTGCCTCCGAAACGTCGTGATTTTTATTTTACTTTTATTAATTTTTATTTTTTTACCTACGTGACTTTACCGAAAAAACCTAAGAATATGGAGAGATCTAAATTGAGTTGTGTCGCCTGTACGTTTTTGAACTCTCACCCACCGTCAACCCTCCTCCGTGTCGCCAGCATTGGGGACCTCCAAGTGGGACATCCGCCAGACGGTGTGGGACTACATGGAGCTTCACGACCTGGCGAACTTCCCCAGGCCCGTGCACCACAGAATTCCAAACTTCAAGGTGCGTCATGGGACCTCCTCTGCCAGTACCAAAATATGAGAATAGGTTTTCCCCTTTTTTCTGGCAACAAAACAGCTAGATTTGAAGCTTTCGTGACTGCAAGGATTCATATTATTAGTTTTTTTCGGTAAAGTCACGTTGGTAAAAAAAAATAATAAACATAAAATAAAAATCACGACGTTTCGGAGGCAACACAAGCTTCCTTCTTCAGGTGGAACCGTCACAGCACGATATCTGTATCAAGTGTGATAGCTGTATCAAGTGTGATACAGCTATCGTGCTGTGACGGTTCCACCTGAAGACGGAAGCTTGTGTTGCCTCCGAAACGTCGTGATTTTTATTTTATTTTTATTTTACTTTTCTTATTTTAATTTTTTTACCTACGTAACTTTACCGAAAAAACCTAAGAATAACAAAACAGCTGTGTTAAGATGTTAAAACACCAAACTGAAACATTTTACAAGGAATCATGTCTGCGTTAACCACAATACTTGTGGTCAGAATGCAAACAAAAAACGCACTATGATAATATTTGCATTGTCTTTGAAACGGATTGGTCCACACCAGAGACAGCTTTCTTTTGAGCCTCGTCTCAAACGGTGTTAGACCAGAGGACACTGCCCATAGACTAACACTGCCCATAGACTCAACGCTACCCATAGACTCACACTACCCATAGACTCAACACTGCCCATAGATTCAACACTACCCATAGACTCAACACTGTCCATAGACTCAACACTGCACCATAGACTCAATACTGCCCATAGACTCACACTACCCATAGACTCAACACTACCCATAGACTCAACACTGCCCATAGACTCACACTACCCATAGACTCAACACTACCCATAGACTCAACACTACCCATACATACGTAATGTTTCACTCTAAAGTTGATAACCGGCTGTTGTTTTGCTGCCTTGCCCAAGCTTGGGAATTGGTGTACTTATAACATTTGAACTTTCTACTTTATCAATTCTACGTATTTATTTATAGTGATTTGCTTAACTTTCATAAACTATTATTTTTCGTGCCCCTTACTGGACTTCCGTCAACAAAGAGCTTCATGGCTCATCGGATTCCTCCAGGATAAATAAACATTCCGATCGCATTCGCGACACCTCCGTGGACACGCCACGTGATGTCTCTGGCCGATGTCTCCCCGGCTCTAACGAGCCAACGACGGCGGCCGCACCGCCCGCTGGTGACCTCTCGTGCCAGGGGTCGACCGGCGCCTCGGCGCGTCTCGGCCTCCTCCCGCAGTTTTCCACGGCGACCACCGTGAAGGTGAACCCGGACAAGCCGCAGGAGGGCGCGCGCTACCTCGCCCTGGAAGTGAGTGCGAAGAACGTCTCGCGTCTCTGTCGTCCCCACCAACCCCACTAACTACCCACCAACCCCACCGCCCACCTCGCCCACCGCCCCCCCACTATCCCTCTCACGGCGCAGGGTTCGTATCGCGCCGCGGGGAGGATCGGAGACCTCGCAGCTTTCGCAGCGACCAGCGCCGTTAAGGTGGACCCCGATAAGCCGCTAGAGGGCGTCCGACTCGCCGCCCTGGAGGTAACGCAGCGACCCACACTGGGGGTGGACAACTCGGTGTAGAGGGGGCGCCGCGGTGGCTAGGAGATGTTGACTACCTCGCCTGGTGTGCAGGAGGTCGTGGGTTCGATCCCGACCCTGACGCCTGCTGCTGTATATTTGGAGTCTGCGTGTTTCTCTAATCATCATCATCACGGTGGCTAGGAGATGTTGACTACCTCGCCTGGTATGCAGGAGCTTGTGGGTTCGATCCCGACCCTGACGCCTGCTGCTGCTGTGTATTTTGAGTTTGCGTGTTCTCCGGGTCCTCCGGGTTTTCCCTCCACATTTATAAAACACGCGTTTAGAGTATTTGGCTGCTATAAATGTCCACATGATGATGAGCCACTTCGTTGAGCTGTCATTTGCGGCCAGGTCACTTCTGAAAAAGAGATACGGAGCTCAGTTGGCCTCACCTTGTAAAATAAAATAAATAAATAACAAATTAAACTCGATACTCGTTCTGCCTTCTTCCCTCCGCCTCTCCCCAGGCACGGAAGACCCTGCTGGTTCCCACGCCGAGACTCCGATCCGGGCTGTTCAACCGGATCGTTCCGCCCGCCGGTGCCTCCAAGGCCGACCTGCACCGGTGTGCCACCTCGCAGGCACGGAGCCGGCGCTTGCACACTGACCAACCAGGCAACAGCAGGCAGCAGCAGGCAACAGCAGCAGGCAGCAGCAGCAGGCAGCAGCAGGCAACAGCAGCAGGCAGCAGGCAGCAGGCAACAGCAGGCAGCAGCAGGCAACAGCAGGCAACAGCAGCAGCAGGCAGCAGTAGCAGACAGCAGCAGCAGGCAGCAGCAGCAGGCAACAGCAGCAGCAGGCAGCAGCAGCAGCAGGCAGCAGCATGATTTAAAAGTGCATAGCTCAGGTGGCGTCCTTAATATCGGATGGAAGAGCGCCTTCCAGACGGCCGCAGAAGCGCACCTGAAAGCGCCGCGCGACGATGCGGCGACCACCGTCTTTGTTCGACGGCTGAGCCCAAAGCCGCCGCCGCTGCTGCTGGGAAAAGATGACGACCGGAGTTTGTGTTGCGGTGGTTTGCACGAGTACGCCCCTCCTCTCCTTCCACGGTGCCCTGACCCTGACCCTTTGCCCCCCGCTCCCGCCTGCGACCTGCGACCCCTGGCAGGGCGTGCGCGAGTTCAGCGTGCCGCTCGCGCTGGACGCCGGCGTGCGCGTCGACCTCGTGGTGGTCGGCTCCGTCGCCGTGTCCGAGAGAGGTAAGAGCCGGGCTCGTACCAGAGGTCGTAACTGGGTACCCGATACCCGTACCCTACCCGATACCCGGCTACCCGTACCCTTCTGGGTACGGGTACCCGTTTGCGACCCTGGTGCGGCCGGGTACGGGTACGGGTAGGCCATGAGTCACGGGTAGGGTACGGGTACGGGTAGGGAACGAGTACCCGTACCCGGCTGGGTACGGGTACCCTTTTGCGACCCTGGTGTGGCCGGGTACGGGTACGGGTAAGGAATCAAACCCCGTTTGCGACCTCTGGCTCGTACCTCGCACGCCCCGCAGGCAGCAGCGGACTGCGTCTCGATCCGCTGCTGGGTGGGAGCGGCTCGCAGGGAGTTTTGTACGTTTTTCACAATTGGTTCGTATCCTGGTTTGGCAGTCGATTCGGACCAACTTCTCTCCGGCGTCGATAAAAATGAGCGCCACTTAGTAGGGAAGTCAGCGGTGGTTGTCACGATTCCGGGGTCACGGCTGGTCAGTCCGAGGACCGATTGCCCTTGACGTATTCTGCAGACTTTTTGCGTTTAGTTCCTAGAGTCACACAGCTGTACGGGGTCGTCTTCCACCGGCAGCCGATTGGCCGCCGTCAGAGTGATGACGTCGCCCCTAGCAACCGTAGGCCTCGTGGTCTCCTTCTGTTCGTGGCCCCCCACCCCCAAGTACAGAAGTTCCCCGTAAAATGCGGAAAGCTGTGATTGTAGCAAGATCCGAAATGACGCGAGAGAGAGAGAACGGAGAGGATGTCAAGGGTGTCCTCCTGGGTCGTCGGCAAACACAGCGGTTGCTAGGGGCGACGTCATCACTCCTACGGGCGGCCAATCGGCTGCCAGGGAGACGACCCCATACGGCTGCGTGAATCTAGAATCGACTGCGAACTCCACCGAGTCTGTAGAGTACGCGAAGGGCAATCGGTTCCGGTCTGCCGCGTGTGCCCGCAGGATGGCGCATCGGGAAGGGCGAGGGCTTTGCGGACATGGAGTTCGCCATGATGGCGTGCACAGGCGCTGTGGATGACGCCACGGTGGTGGTGACCTGCGTTCACGACTGCCAGGTCCTACACGCGCACACGCACACACGCACGCGTGAACGCACACGTATACATCTTGGGAAGCCACAGGAGCTGTGCACTTTTAAATCTAAATTTGAGAACTCGTTTCTTTAGAACCGATTTTTGTGTTTAGTGTTTGTTGTTCCTTTCCCCCGCACATCCGATTGGCACGGTTGGCTACGTACGGTGCGAAAGAAGTTAAATATACAGACTGCACACAGACTAACACTGTCCATAGACTCAACACTGCACCTCCCATCAGAAAGATTGGCTACGTACGGTGCGAAAGCAGTTCAACATATACACAACAAGATCCCTCAATTAGTAGTCAAAACAGATATTTCGGGGCCAGTTCTGTTTGCGATCAGCAATGAAGGCCGGCACGGCACACGAGGCAAACTCCAGCTCTGGGAGTGAAAGTCTGTTGAGCATTCGTGCGGTGAATGTTACTCTGCAGCAGGGCGGGTAGGGAAGTGCATCTCCTCTAGCAGTGGAACTTGAAACAACCTCAGAAGCGTAGGTCGCAGACGGGTTTTGATTCCTTACCCGTACCCGTACCCTACCCGTTACCCGGACGGGTAGGGTACGGGTATCGGGTACCTGATTGCGACCTCTGGGATGAAGCCATGTTGCAGGCGCGGGCGGGTTGATTCTAGGAACTTGAATTGTGAGAAGAGACAAGACGTTGGGAAATAAGTGACAAACAGTTACTCGCCAGTGACTCACGGCCTACCCGTAACCGTACCCGGCCGCACCAGGGTCGCAAACGGGTACCCATACCCGTACCCGGCCGGGTACGGGTAGCTGGGTATCGGGTAGGGTACGGGTATCGGGTACCCGGTTGTGACCTCTGCTCAGAAGTAGCTCCGCAGACCATCCTCGGTCACACGTAAGGGCCGCAGCAGAATTCCATCTCGTGGCGTGACGCACGATCGGAATAATCCCGGGGGTGGCGGGGACTGGGTAACATTTCCATCGCCGTCGGTGACGCAGGTGGTGGACATCCCGGAGGAGCTGGTGGAAACTCATGACCTGACGGTTGACTACATCCTCACCCCGACGCGCGTCATCAAAACCAACTGCAGCGCGCCCAAGCCTCGTGCAATCATCTGGTCCAAGGTCAGCCGACAACTTCTTTCTATTTGTGTCGATGTGGTTTAAGGGTGGCGAGATGTTAACTATCTCGCCTGGTACGCGGGAGGTCGTGGGTTCCATCCCGACCTTGACGCCTGTTGCTGTATATTTGGAGCCTGCGCCTCTCTCTCATCACCATCACGGTGGCGAGGAGATGTTGACTACCTCGCCTGGTATACAGGCGACCACGGGGAGACAGAGAGAGAGACGCACACTCCAAATATACAGCAGCAGGCGTCAGAGTCGAGATCGAACGCACGACCCCCTGCGTACCAAACGAGGTAGTGAATGTCCCGCCACCGTGGCTTGTGTCGATCCTCTCAATGTTGCGAAGATCGACCGCGAGCTTCTGGCCCGGATCCCCATCCTGAACACTCTGCGGGCCCGGGAAGAGAGGCTGGGCCGGGACGTGTCGCTGAGGGACGCTCCCAGCCTTCACCGCACCGCAGCCTCTGCCGGATCTCCGGACGATCCTTCCGCTTCTCTCCACCGAGAAACCGTCGGCGTCGGCTCTGCCGGGACAGCGGCAGCGACCCGCGTGCGCCGGGCCGGTTCCGTTTCGGCAAGGGGGCGGCGTGGGGACGGGAGACACCACCGGGGAAGAGGAGGAGGATGGGCGAGGCAGCCGATTGGTGGAGGAGGAAGTGGTTGCGCCGTGCCGGATCTGGCGAGGGGCCGGGGTGGTGGTGGGGGCGACGGAATGTAACCTTCCGGTAACCTCGGGGCTTTAATTTCTCACCCACAATGTTCGGCGTCGCTGGTAGACTAGAGTCGGTGTTGCCGTGACTCGTCGTGCTGCAGCCCACCGCGGGAGGTGTATACTTGACGTGGTGTTCCGGGCGTGGAAATGACCCGGCCAGATCCGGCTGAAGCGAAGCCCTGATGAACCGGATCCTGAAAGCAGCGATCAGCAACGAGTGGATGATGATGACGATGGTGGGGGGGGGGGGGGGGGGTGTTTTCACCATTTGTGAATTGTCGGGGCGGGAGCCGCACGTCAGGGGCCGCACTAAAGGCCACCAGGAGCTGCCGCCAGTGGCCCGCGGGCCTTGTGCCTCGTGGTCTCACGATGCATCCCACCCCTGCACACTCAACCGATGTCATTGTCTACAACATCACGCACGCACGTGTGCTTACATACACACTGCACTTGTAAAGCATTCTGGGTAATAAATATGGCTAACGTCAGTGGCGAGTTGATGTCTGATCTGGTCCTCCTTATAACGTATGCTACAGGCCCCGCACCGGCACTGCCTGGATGACTGTGGAGGCCTTTGGCAATCTCTTGACAAGGGACGATATATTATTAATATTCAGATAATAACACTGCTGCGTACAGCACGTGAAGTGTGTTCAAAGCCGGTCTGTGCGTGGTTCCCTTCGTACAGAAATAAAACTTTGGTTTCCGATTTTTATTGCCAAATTATCCTTTTCGTTGTTGTCGATGTTGTCGATGTTGTTGTCGTCGATGTTGTCAACACGTCCCCATGTCCGGCGCAACTCGTGGGGCAAATCGCCAAGCCGACCATCCGTGTTTTAGGCCCCTTTAGTGAAAATGCGAAGTGTGGCTCTTCCTGAACCCTCACCCGGTCCGAGACGTCTGCAAGTGGCGGGCGGGTGCTGTGTCCCCGTTCATCGCCGGAGCGTGCGAGCGACTCGGCGTAAATTTTATTTAGAGAGGCGCAGTAAACGCCACCGTCGTTTTTAACGGCGTCGTTACTCACCGCAGAGAACTGTCGCGACACGACCGCCTCCACTCTCCCAGAGCTGGGGCCAAACTGTGGCACGTGCAGCCCTCCCGGGTGGCCTTGTGGGAGCCTCGCTACCGATACAGTTATTTTATCTTTCGATTTAAAGCTTTCGTGACTGCAGGGATTTATCTTCTTGGTTCTTTCGGTAAAGTCACGTAGAAGGAAAATAATAAAATAATAAAAATAAAACATAATAAAATTATTCTCACGATGACGGCTGCTTGCGTTGTTTTATTATTTTCCTTCTACGTTATTTTATCTTCTTGGTTCTTTCGGTAAAGTCACGTAGAAGGGAAATAATAAAATAATGAGAATTATTTTGTTATGTTTTATTTTTATTATTTTATTATTTCCCTTCTACGTGACTTTACCGAAAGAACCAAGAAGATGAATCCCTGCAGTCACGAAAGCTTTAAATCGAAATTTAAAGTTATTTTATTTACGTGTACGTCATCGGAATGGAACCAGAAGAAAAACTGATGGACGCGTACGTCATGGGAACGTAGCCAACCTTACTGATTGGAGGTTCGGGGGAAGGACAAACTAAAGGCAAAAAAGCAGTTCTGAATAAATGAGTTGATCAAATGGTGCCCACCGGTAAGTGTGAGAGATTGTGGCAGGGCATTGAGAAGTGGTGCAGTCGGATCTGCTGTGGTGGTACAGGTCAGTTCAGGGAGTCTGAGCGAAGTGGGCAAATACCGATTTTGTTTCGTGCTGGGCGAAGGGCTTCCATTTTCTTCTATTCCTTAAGTATTCTCCAGTAGGGTGCCGTAGTGGCGAGATGTTAACGACCTCGCCTGGTATGCAGGAGGTCGTGGGTTCAATCCCGGGTCTGACGCCAGCTGCTGTGTATTGGGAGTTTGCGTGTCTCTCTCCCTGTGGTCACGTGGATTTTTCTCAGGGTCCTCCGGTTTTTCCCTCCACATTTACAAACATGCATGTGCAGTATTTGGCTGCTATACTTTTGCACACGATAAGCCACTTCACTGGACGATCATTTGTGGTAGACAGGTCGCTTCTAAAAAAAGCTTTTTAGCTCATATTCTTAGGTTTTTTTTCGGTAAAGTCACGTAGGTAAAACATTAAAATTAGTAAAATAAAATAAAAATCACGACGTTTTTAGCTCAGTTGGGGAGGGCCTTACCTGTTAAAATAAATAACACCAAACGTATAAAAGTTAACGTTGGACTCGAATTGTAAACGTGAGTTTATTCTCCAACACGCCGGTGTGCTGAATTAGTAACGATTTGGCATGTTCCGTTTCCGTGACACAATTTATGCGATCTAAGCTCAAAATAAACCCTCATGTATCAGAAAAAAAAATCCTTCCCATACCGGGAATTGAACCCGGGCCGCCTGGGTGAAAACCAGGAATCCTAACCACTAGACCATATGGGAGCCCTGCTCACGAAAGCGTCGCGTTTCATACTTAATGTCACAACCGGCTGAGCCGGCGGCTTAATTTGTTTATTCACGACATGCTCTTAGCATTAAGAGACGCCTGCAAAGCTGATAGCCTACGGATTTCCCATATGGTCTAGTGGTTAGGATTCCTGGTTTTCACCCAGGCGGCCCGGGTTCAATTCCCGGTATGGGAATGATTATTTTTACTCGGTAATTTTGTTTAAACATTTTTTTTTTAAACCAATGGATTCTACTGCGCCACGTGTGTTAAGGGGAAATGTGTGGCATACGCCAGCCAACGTGTTACAGTTGTTCAGTGTGTACAGTCCATGTAACGATCATCATCTTGAACCGGAATATATTGATTTTGTGACGTTATTATCCCGTGGCCCGACTGGAAATCTGTGCGAAAGAGCTTTAGAGATTATCGGATTCCTCCTGCAGTATCAATACAAATTCTAGCCCCTTTTTTTCTTCTTGGTTCTTTCGGTAAAGTCACGTAGAAGGGAAGTAATAAAATAATAAAAATAAAACATAAAAAATAATGATTTTATTATAAAAGAATTTTTTTATTTTAATAAAATAATAAATATAAAACATAATGAAATAAATATTTTATTATGCTTTATTTTTATTATTTAAATAAAATAAATATTTTATTATGTTTTATTTTTATTATTTTAATAAAATAAATATTTTATTATGCTTTATTTTTATTATTTTATTAAAATAAATATTTTATTATGTTTTATTTTATTATTTTATTACTTCCCTTCCACGTGACTTTACCGAAAGAACCAAGAAGATGAATCCCTGCAGTCACGAAAGCTTTAAATCGAAATCTAGCCCCTGTTGTCAAACCCACTGCTGGATGGAGGCCTCCCCAAGCTCTGCAGGGTCATGGGGGTTGCTAGACCATGCTTCACCACGCTGGTCAGTGCGGATTAGTGAATGGGGGAAGGACACGGGGGGGGGGGGGAGGGTTATACATTTAAAACTAATTTCTTGAGAACCGATTTTTGTGTTCAGTTTTTTGCCATTCCCCCGCTCCTCCGATTGGCTTCGTACGGTGCTAAAGAAGTTCAACATCGTACGCCGAGTTGTCAACTGCTCATCAGTGCCCTTACCTTGTTACACACCAACTATACACTACACTACTATACACTACACACTATACTACTATACACTACTATACACTACACTACTATACACGACACTACTATACACTACACACTACACTCCTATAGACTATATATACACTATACACTACACTACTATACACTACACACTACACTACTATACTACTATACACTACTATACACTACACTATACACTACTACATAGCTGTGTAACCCCTTATCAGTGCCCTACCTTGTTACACACCAACTCAGACCTTATCGGTCACCCCGTGCCCCTTATACATCTCAACGTGCAGCGTTGTCACTTTAAGATGTTTTCTTGTTCATGTTTTTGTTGTTGCGGTTGCACCCGAGTCAAGAGCCGAATGGCTCACAGGGCTACACCTAATACATGAAAACTGAAACTTTCGGCGCTTCGCTCTTTCGGCCGTTCTCAACCCCAACCACATTTCAAATTTCGTCCACGCGGCTCTTACTCTTTCGTCCGATTTCATCCCCAAACCTTCCACGACGTTCGCGCCACGCGGCGTCTTATTCGTTCAGTCTTTGAACAGAAGTCATTCAGTGAGCAGCATCTCTTATATTTGTGTTTATTCAGATGTTATTCATACTGTATCTATCACCAATATATTCATCGTCCACTTACACAAAAAAAATATTTAAAGGTATAATTGTTTATTTTTTTTATTTTTGTTTATAAATTTGTATTCTTGTTTATTTTTCTTTTATGTTTATTTAGGTTTCGCACGCATGTGTTATTTAGCTACTGTAGTTATTTGCATGTACGTTTTTATATTTACTGTAAATATTTGCATGCAAGTTTGTATATTTACTGTAGTTATTTGCAATGCACGTTTTTCGCCGGCCAAAACAAACTTGCGAGCTCAATCAAAGGCTCCGCTTTGACAATTCGTCCATGCTCTGGTCCCGAACCCGACGAGAGTGCGAGAGGTGTTCCTGTAAATACTTCTCGGCAGGCCGCCTCCGACTGCCTTGAATCACTGCAGCAGTGGCGGCTCCTGCAAAATCTCTCAGGGGGGGCAAATGTCTGGATGATTGATAAGGATAAGGTCCACCCATGCAATGGATAAATTAACAGCTTAAGCATGTAAAGGCAACTTCACTTCTTTAATATTAATGAAAAATAAAGTGACTCTTACAATACATCTTGTTTGTTTCTATACTCACTATTATTACAATCCACTCAGTTTATTTTATTAAAGATTACACTAGGTGGCGACAAATAATATTGTTGACTGAAACGTGCTTACGTATGATGACGTAAGCACGTTAGTGCGAGCCCTCCCGGAAGCCATAGAGAATGCATTGGAGCACCCGCCGTTCGAAAAAAAAAACATCTTTGAATGTAAGTCTATGGGAACACTCGGGGTGATTCTCAGCCAGAGTGAAATCGCCCAAAAAGAGGCGGTACTCCACAGAACGTGACATGACGCTGATTGGACTATATCCAGAGGCACAGTGACGGCTAGCGTAACTCTGTGGTTGAATGACATTGGTGGTGCGTCGCCCAATCGCCCTAATGAAGAAACCGCCCTTGCACTGGAGCCTCAATCCACTTCAGGGCTCGTTCCGCTGTGCGTGGCCAAGTAAACCGTTGCGTTACGTCACAATGCCCGTGAATGCGTAGATAGTATGTACACACGTTACGTCACAGTGCACGCGAACACACACGTACACACGTTACGTCACAATGCACGTGAACACACGTACACACGTTACGTCACAATGCACGTGAACACACACGTACACACATTACGTCACGAAGCGTCAGTCCGCAAAGCGACGCACGCGGCCCCTGAGACGTGCATTTGGCGACCCCCCTGCGCCAGCCCGAGGCTCGGGATAAGGGACGCGAGGGAGACGTTGAGAAGCTTGCACGGACGCTCGCGGTCGAGTGTGGAGCGGGGGACGACTTTTACCGGACACCGGGTGACGAGGATCACGATGGTGACATGACGAGGGCAGACAGGAGACGGGCCGGCGGACAGGAGAAGGGCCGGTCTTCTCCTGTCCGCCACCCGGTGTCCGGTAAAAGTCGTCCCCTGATCCACACGCTCGAACGCGTTGTCCGGTCGCTGTCCCCGGGCAACAGCTGAACTTGAGAATGAGAAGCATTTCAATTTAAAGCTTTCGTGACTGCAGGGATTCATCTTCTTGGTTCTTTCGGTAAAGTCACGTAGAAGGGAAGTAATAAAATAATACAAATATAAAACGTAATAAAATACAATTCTCACGACGTTTCGGCCACAACGCAAGCAGCATGGCAGCCGAGTGTGGAATCGGTGCGTCCCACGCGCCACGCAGGCCGATACAGGCGTCCAACTTCAAATCAATCACAGCGGGAGGGCAGCGATGACAGGATCGGAGTGCAGCTTTTATTTTCATTCATATTTAGTTTTTGTGTCCCGGTTCTTGTTGTTTTTACTTCATGGACATGTGTCAGCTGAACAAAAGCCTTATCGATTGAATATACCACGACGTTTTGTTAATGTTTTGTAATCCAGATACACATAGGGACGTCCATCGAGGAGGTGGAGCGATGGAATCAGCCGGCCTCGGGTGGATCACTACGTCGCAAGGACCGTTAAAAGGGTGGCGGTAGCTTGCGGAGGCCTTCATCCAACAGTGGATTGACCGTGGCTGACGATGAAACACGTTCAAGAATGTCATCAGTGCACATCTTAATAGCCGCTTGAGGCTGAGCTCAACGTAGATGACGACGCACAGGTGAGAAGCGAGGAAAGCCGAACCCACTCGATCAGCTTCAACCGCTTTGCACCGCGAGACCACGGCGGTCGGGAGGCCTTCATCCAGCAGTGGATATATCACTGCTGCTGCTGCTGTTTTCTCAAGCCTCTATTCAAGCGTGCGTTTGTTGCGCGAATGAGCAGAAACAGCAGACACGCAGGACTTGTCACCGCGCTGTTAGCCGTGAAGGCCTCGCAGAGTCACGATAATCTGTCTCGAGAGGGACTTGCAAGCCCAGGTCCCGAGCGAGGAAGTAATCCCTGGGCCGGAGCAGACGTCGGTACCAACCGAGACAGGACAACTTCAGTCGTGCCCATTTATTGACGCACGCCGAGACAATTCTGGTGAGTTATGTGGTTAACCATGGCGCGTGGGACGTTATGTGGTTAACCGCATAACTCGCCGTTATTTGGCCACGTACAGAAACTGGAACCGCTGAAAATCAGCCACCTCAGGTGGTACCGGCAAGTGACATACCTAGCGAGGTCTGGGCTCACAAAAAAAAAAACTTTCCTCTTGCCTGTGGCTATTTCAATTCGAATCTGCAACAGACAAAGAGAACCCATAACAGAAACACAACTTATAAACTATTTTATTTTAGCGATTAAGGCCCACTGAGCTATTTAGCTCTTTTTAAATACTTTATATTAAGTTCACTTGCTTGCTTGCTTACTTGCTTACGACCGTGCAAATCTTTCGGTCGTGTTTTAACCCACTTCCCGTGATCCAATCGAGCTGACATTTTCCACACAGACTCGTTGTGCGTAACAATGAATGTTCGTGAAAAAAATTCCCGAAATTTTACACTTTTCAGGACAAAAATATTATATTTAATTACCAATTGCTTAATGGTGCCATGCAATCATCTGACCCATAAGTGGCAGCCATCTCAAGCCAGAGGACGAGAGGACTCTAGCCGCCACGCATATAAAGGATTTATAGTGAAAAACTTTGTTTTTACGGGTTATACTTGTTCACAAGTGACCTGGCTCCCACAAATCATAGCTTAACGAAGCGGCGGCTGATCGCCACGTGGAAATTTACAGCAGCAGCCAAATGCTTTAACACACGTGATGTTGATTCTAAAAACGTGGAGGGAAAAAACCGGAGGATCCGGAGGAAAATCCACGAGCTCGCGGGGAGAGACACACAAACTCCAACTATACAGCAGGCATCGTCACGGCCGGGCCCGAATCCACGACCTCCCGTATACCAGGCGAGGTAGTTAACATCTCGCCACCGTGGCACTCATGCAGGCCGGATGCAAAGAGACTTTACTGCTGTTATGGGTTCTCTTCGTCCTGGACAAAAGGCGGTTGTCACCTGAAGCCCATGGCTAGCGGGGTCCCCTGCCTCCCACCACAGTGCAAAGGCCTCTCCATATACCGGGCTCCACCGTAGGAATCATGGCAGCAGTGAACACCGATTGACCGTGTCTCTGGGGCCTGTCTGCCAGCACAGGGACTCCTCTCCTTACGAACGAGGCAGGTTCCAGAGGTTCTGTTCGTAAGTCGATTTGTTCGTAAGTTCCAACTTTACTCCCATCGATTCCAAACACGTCGTACGGCGTGTACACTCAAACACGGGGAATGCCTTTAAAAGTTGTACGATCTCCTGTAGATGCCGCTGGTTCTTCACGTTCTGCAGACGTAGATGCCACCACCGCCATCTATTGCGCGGCGGTTGAACTTACGACTCTTGGTCCGAACGGGCAACTACGTAACTCTGAAAGTTCGTACGTTGAATGTTCGTAAGTAGAGGACTCTCTGTACTGTATCAGGTGTTAAGATGTGCACACACCAAACACCGATTGCAAGGTATCTGATCGTGTCTTTGAAACCGATTGGCCTACGCCAGAGACGGCCTTCTTGATGGCCTAGTCTCACCAGCAGTGTTAGACCCGGTGTCTGTTTGGTGATGGAGCGTATCTTGCCACAAGCACGTGCGGTTAATGCATACCTGATGCCTTGCTGGAGTTATCTATTTGTTGTTTGGACATCTTAACACCTTCTGCTTTATTACCAGAAAGGGTTAAAGCCAATTATTGTTTTTTTCATTGTTGACTGTGCCTCTACTCATGAAGTCTTAACGGGAGGTGAAAACGGTCATCGGGTGTGTCTCCGTATCACCGCCCTCACCCCCGTTGGGACAGGCCTCACCATCTCAACTCGCCGAGTCGGTGATCTTACCGACAAAATGACCAAACATTCAGTTCTTTTCAGCTGGTGGTCTGGATAAGGCTGAGAGCTTTATGACACGAAACGCAATTTGTTTTTGTCCGTTTCACAATTTTTCGCACCTTCGATAAACAAGGAACATGAACCATCATCACGCCAACTCCGCTCATCCTTGCAGAAGCACCGGCTTTTAGCTCGGCCATCGAACAGAGACGGTGATCATCGCGTCGCGCGGCGCTTTCAGATGCGCTTGTGCGGCCGTCTGGAACGCTCTTCCTTCCGATATCAAGACGCCACCGGAGCCATCATCTCGATTGACAAACTCGCATCTTTAGAACAGTTTTGTGCGTTTGGTTTGCTGCCCTTCCCCCGACACCTCCGATTAGCGCGGTTGACTACGTACGGTGCGAAAGAAGTCCAACACACATGCGTACATACTTTGCCCCAAATGTCTTCCAAGAGTCTAGAAACCATCTTCTTCCAGCACTCTCCCCTCCGGGGCTATCAAACGTCCCCCCCGTTGAGGCCTACACAGTCCTGGTGAGTTCACGGCACGGCACGGCACGGCCTTCATCCAGCAGCGGATTGGCGTCGACGGCAGCACGTGGACATGCGTGACGATTGCATAATCATTACGTGACGCTGCCAGAAAGAATTCGGAACGCCTGAAAGCCGAAGGGGCTTGTCGATTCACTTCATGATCGCTCAACGCACTTACCTGTTCAAAGCTTCATCGGCGTTTGATATGTCAGTCATCGTAACAGCCCAGTCGATGGCACAGTCGAGCCGTCGAGTCTGAGTCGGTGTACCTCATGGAGTTATTCTCTTAGTCCTTGTTGACTACAGCAGTCAAACATGTAATGAGAAACTTATAGTTATTTAATGATTAGGCTACGGAATTATCTTTCGTTCAGACTCGTTAATTGTCTCGTCACAGTCATTCTGTAATCTCTGGTGGGTCGCTGGTGGTGGTGGTGATGATGACAGTGATGATGGTGACGATAATGGTAGTGGTGACGATAGTGGTAATGATGATGGTGGTGATGATGGTGATGGTGGTGATAATGATGATAGCGGTGGTGGTGATAATCGCGGTGACGGTGACAATGATAGTGGTGGTGACAATGGTGGTAGTGATGATGGTGTTGGTTACGATGGTGGTGGTGGTGATGGTTAGTCGTAGTCATTGCCCACGATTCTCTTCCACCCGTTGCCACCGTTGTCACCGGAATTTAAGACAAGCTCATAATTTTCATCAACAGCGTTCACTTACTAAATTACCACTGCCGCCCCCCCCCGTCACTCCCCGCTGTCACCAGGCAGCGGTCGCCGTGGTCCGGGCAGCCGAGAGCCCCGCTTGCTCTCACTGGGCCTAACCCTCGGAGAACTGGCGGTAGAGCGCGCCGAGCTCCGGGTCGGTGAAATTGGGCACAAAGTTGATGCGGACAATTTCACTGAAGCCTTCGTCCGCCGTGGGCGGCACGTACTTGTTCCTGCAAAGGGTCCGCGGGCAGCAGAGGACAAAAAAAGGAATGTCACGCGGCGCACGCGACGCTTGGGGGCGCCGTGAAGCGCTCGTCACCAACGTACAAAAGATGTGCCCGGAAATTATTAAATTGGCGATGGTGGCGGTGTGCGGAACGGGAGGTGCGCGTGTGGCCGAGGCCTCCAGTATTAAAAGTAAGAATAGGTTGTTTGACCCTTGTCTGGCAATACAACAGGTTGTGTGTTGAGATGTTCAAACGCCAAATTGATATCCTTTGCAAGGAATCAGGTACTGCATTAACCACGCACGGTACATGTGGTGGTGAACATGGAAACAAACTTGCTCTGATTATAATGTGTGCATGGTCTTTGAACTGATTGGCCTACACCAGACACTGGTGAGACTAAGCCCTAAAGAAGGCTGTCATTGGTGTAGGTCAATCGGTTTCAAAGACAATGCATAGATTATTAGAATAAGTTTTTGTTTGCATGTTTACCACAAGCACTGTTTGTGGTTAATGCAGATTTGATTCATTGCGAAAGGTTTCTATTTGGTGGTTTAGCCTTGTTTGTTTGTTCTAGTACGGAGTAAGACTGATGGCCTTAATCTAAGTTGTCTTGTGGTTGTTGTTGTTGTTGTTTGACTTGCATCCCACTGGGATTTTTGCACACAACGTTGGTGTACAGTGCTTTTTCTGCAATATTTTGCTGTCTTTTTTTTGATTTTCTGTTTGCACTCAGTCACATATTCACTTTAAGATGTTTTCTTGTTCATGTTTTTGTTTTTTTGTTTGTTGCGGTTGCACCCGATTGAAGAGCCGAATGGCTCACAGGGCTATACCTAATACATGAACTTGAACATCTGAACACAACTCCTGTTTTATTGACAGAGAGGCTAAAGCCAATACTTTTTACCGCCGTTTTCTTTTTGTTAATGATAAATCAACTTCGGGCTCAAGGTCGGCTCGCACTGGACCATCGTCACGAGGGCTATCGTACCCATCCCCCACCTCCTTTCGCCACAGTCAGAGCTGATGCACCCAGCAGCGGGTAGATGGTGACTGGACGATGGCAATGACGACAACGATGATCACGATGGCGATAATGATGATCACGATGATGACGACGACGACGATGATCACGATGATGACGACGATGATCATGATGACGACGACGACGATGATCATGATGATGACGACGATGATCATGATGATGACGATGATGGCGATAATGATGATCACGATGATGACGATGGCGATGATGATCATGATGATAACGACGGCGATAATGATGATCATGATGATGACGACGACGACGATGATCATAATGATGACGATGGCGATTATGATGATGATCACGATGATGACGACAACAATGATGATCACGACGATGACGACAATGATGATCACGATGACGACGACGCCGATGATGACGGCGCTTGTTATTTGTTGCGGATGCCGGCGTGCGGGGGAGACAAACCTGCTGGCGTTCATCACCATCACGTTGACCGGCACGTGCTCTTTGCCCACGGCCTCGCGGAACTGCCCGAGCCATGACGAAGGAGACACAGAGACAGCGAGAAACCACACGTTGTTATTGTTGTTGTTATTGTTGTTGTTATTGTTGTTATCGTTGTTGTTGCCCTGGTTCACCCAGCAAAGCCGTACTCGAGTCTCAAGGCTGTTTGGCAGGAGGGTCCTGCCAGGTTTTGGCAGCGGTAACGGAACGATATTGTTGCTGCTCCTGCTGCTCTGTGTGATCCCAATTAGGGAGTGGCGGTGCAGCGGTTGGCGCGTTGCGCTACGAACCCGGCGATCCGAGTTCGATTCCCTCTCACGGCCACCAACACCACTGAACCAGTTCTGGGCCTCCCCTAGGTCGACTTAGCCTCAAATGAGTACCTAGTGTAAACATCGCCAATAGGGAGACAAAGGCGGCCTGGCGAGATGCTGGCCACCCACCCCCTCGTGTGGCATGCTGGTCTCCAAAGGTGCTCGCTAACAGCACTCGCCCCAACAGTCTGTTAAGGCTACACTGTATGGTTCAGGGTGGTTTGAGCGAGCGAGTTGGAGAGTGTACGAGTGAGTGCGTGGACGACTGCGAGACTCACCCGGTTATTGTGCATCGCGTGTTCGAAGGTCGTTGTGAACAGAAAGCAACGGCAAGGGACGCCAGCCTTCCGTGCACAATCCACGTACCTACACACAGCCCCACAGAGTAATACTACCATTACACACACACACAGCCCCACAGAGTAATACTCTCACTACACAATACACGTACCTACACACAGACCCACAGAGTAATACTATCACTACACAATCCACACACAGCCCCACAGAGTAATACTATCACTACACAACACACACAAACACATAGAGTAATACTATCACTACACGATACAACAACCGCCATTCGCCACTAAGTGGCGGGTGACATCACCACGACGCTTGTGCCAGGCTATGTGCACCTTGAGGCCACGTGAAGTGTCGAACGCCCGCTGGCAGGAGGTCACGGGGCAGACCCAGGTGCCACGGGTCTCGACTGACTGAGATGACCGAGATGACTGGCTGATTCACCACCTGTGCCCCCTACTGTACCCAACTTGCTGTGCTTTAGTCACCCGGCGATCCGCACGTTGTTGTGAGCGTCGCTCCTCCGCCCTCGTTGTTATTGGAGGGTGACTACCTCCAACTGCCCAGTAGCGTCCTTCACGAGCCTCCTCCACAGAGGCCGATCTTGGACAACGCTGGTACCATCATCGGGCAAGTCACTCAGCTCCACGTCCTCCTGTACCACATCACTCCATCTCTTCTCTAGCCCGTGCCGCGCCCGTTTAGCCCCTCGATCCGGCCGAACAAAAGCTGTTAGGCATGCGGTGGCTGGGCATGCGGGCCTACATGACCCAGCCAACGCAGCCTTGCCTGCCGGAGGAGCTCACCGATGGGACTTTGTCCAGATCTTCCGAGGATTGTGAGCTCCGCACACAATCCAGCCTGCAGGTTTAAACCCAGGATGGATCGTAGGCAGACCAGCCTAAATGTTTTTAACCGACGAAGATATTCCATTAGGAAGGGTCCACGTTTCGCGTAGAGAAGGGAGGGCATTGACCGTGGCCGAGAAGACCACACATGCTGGCGTACAAGAGACTGGACGAGGCTCTCCCAGGCAAACAAGCGCAATGATGACGATGATAATAATAATAACGACGCGCAGACAGAGAGCGGGGGTAGCAGTGGCAGCTGTAGCCGATGCGTGAGTGACGTGGGGTGGGGCGCCGGCACCTTTTCCGCGCGTCCACCTCCAGGTTGGTGTTGTCCACCACGACCCCATGTCCACCACGCAGGGCCTCCTCGCACGCCGCCACACACTTCTGCCAGTTCCCCAGCGTGTCCTTGCACAGCAGGCGACAGAGAGACAAAGACGAAGATCCCCCCCGCCGCATAGCCTTAACAGACTGTCGGGGCAAGTGCTCTTCGCGAGTAGCAGCGCCTATGAAATCCGGCACGGCGCACGAGGGGGTGGGTGGCCAGCACCACGCCCGGCCGCCTTTGTCTCTCCTCAGCCGCCATGTTAACTACGCACAGCAACGGGTACTCATTTGAGGCCGAGTCGACCAAGGGGAGGCCCATCGTCTCATCATCACCACCGTACCCTGTTCACGTAGCTGTAGCCCTTGGACCATGTGCTCTTTGAAGAACGTCGACTTCCCAGCTGCAACGACAAACACGCGCACGACTTTACCCGCACGGAGAGACAGCGACGATGGCAGCAGTGACGACGACAACGACAGGAGGCGGGCGATTATGATTCGAGGACGATGATTTGTTTGCCGCGTGATGACGATCGGCAGCGGCAGCCTCGCCAGCCGGCGCGGCGCTGGCAACGGGAACCGAACGTGACGATCGGTGGCGGCTGTCAACACGGGATTCTGGGAGTTGCAATTCCGCTTCGTCGTCTCACCTGCGGGGAATCCCACCGCCACCACCACCTCCGGCTCCTCGTGGCAAAGCGTGGCCGTGGCCGGGAGGAACAGAGGGGAGCTGGGGCTCACCATGCGGGGTGAGGGGGCGGGGGACAGAGGAGGATATCAGCATTATCGTCAGCATGATCATCAGCAGCAGTAGCAGCCTTGGCAGCAGCAGCAGTATGAACAACATCGGCAGCATCTACAGCATCGGCAGCATCGGCAGCATCACTGGCTGGGAGGAAAACAGAAGCTGAGATGGAACTCGCTGTGCGTTGTGGTGAGCAGGGAGGGAGGGAGTCATCGGCATTACCAGCATCACCGGCATTAAAGGAGTTGGTGAAACATCCAGCATAGGGCCACAGAGCTTGGGCAATAATTGTTGGTTACGCCGGCTGTGGCTGCCTTCACGCTCTGTCCGTGGGTTTATCGCGCCTGCTGCTGCTGCTGCTGCGTTACAAATCTGCGTCTTTGTTATTTTGGCGGTCGGACTCACAGGGTCGAAGTCGGGCAGGCTGTAGGGTGCCGTCTTCCATCCCAGGAAGATCTCCTCCGGAGTGTGGAACGGGAGTCCCACGTTGAGAGCAAACTTACAAAAACGACAAAGGGGTGATGATAGTAATAGTAGTAGTCAAGGGACGAAGGCCACACGCACCCACTGCGTTGTGAAACGGTATCCAACTTTGTGTTTGTGCCGTATGGGTGCCACGGTGGCTAGGAGATGTTAACTACCTCGCCTGGTATACAGGAGGTCGTGGGTTCGACCCCGACCCTGACACCTGCTGCTGTATATTTGGAGTTTGCGTGTCTCTCTCTCCCCATGGCCGCGTGGATTTTTCTCCGGCTGCTCGGTTTTTCCCTCCACATTTAGAATCAACGTCACGCGAGTAGTGTGTGGTAGGCTCTGGATTATCCGCGCTAAAGATGGGGAGGACGGCCATGGATCATTCAAAACAGCGGAACATCCCAAAAAAATCTATTTTCCATGGATCTCATTGCCAAAAACCACGAGTATAGGTATAAATTATGTTAAAGCTTCTCTGCCATCGCACAGCTTTCATAAATGAAAACTCACCTAAATTAAATGATGGGATAAATCACTCGATTGTTACACTTCAGATTTAAACCAATACTAACGATCGACCGTCGATCGATGACGCGCGTGCTCAGCGATAGAGACACTTTCCTGCTCCCGCCCAGCAGAAGACTCGGCCCACTGAGTGGATGACAGCAGCAGAGCCACGCCAATCAAACTCCGCCCACTGTAGTAAAGATATGGCAACTACTGTACTGTAGGGGCGATCGCGTGGATTTCGGATTAACGGGAGGAACATAATTGTTCGGTATGAGCACCGTGTGATTTGTAATGAACATTTCAAAGAATAACAACATAGAACTGTTTTATATTTTAGATTATTAATTTGGGCTTGAGAAAAATCCACACGTTATTTGCAGAAAAATCTCCGGTGCGTGGTAAATCCGCACATCGGATAAACCGCACGCGGTATTTGGCTGCGATACATTTCCACGCGAGGAGCCACTTCGTCGAGCTATCGTTGACCACCTCGCCAGCGTGACTCGGCGACGCTTCCCTGAACAAACCGGCGCCCCCCCCCATTGCGACGGCTCGCCACGCTACCGACGTTGGGACCGTCACGGCGTGGGGGGGGGGGGGGTGTGCGTCGTTGTCGTCGCGAACGCCGAGCCGGCTGCGGTGCGCCCCGTGCCGATTCCTCACCAGGCGATCGCTGCAGGAGAAGTCTTCTTCTTTCCGGGGGCCCAGTTTGCCGGGCGTCCTGCGGCATCTGCGAACACGGGACAAGGGCGGACGCATGGGGGTGGGGGCGGACGTCGCCACGGTAGCGATGCGCCAGGGACGGCCGTCGGGAAAAACGATTTTGAACGTAACGTTTCGGATTGCTGTCCGTTCCATTTTTCAAGGACGATGTCGGATATTTTTTGTTCCCACGGTCACCGATTGTTCATGTCGTGTTAAGTTGTTTCACGCGTGGGGGGCGGGGGGCGGTTAGACGTCGCAGTGACGCGGGGTGGCGTCGACATTTTGGCGGAGTGTTCGAATGGCGGTGGACGCGCACAAACAATATAATCGGAGCAGCAAGATTATGCGCCATGGAGAAGGGCCATTGTCCGAAACATCTGACTGAAAACTTTCCCTTATAAGGCCACACTTCACAGCGGTATTGACGAATGTTGCATTTGTAGTGGGTTCACGAACGACAGAGACGGTGTGTAGTCGAGGCAGCACTATTTATAATAACTCAACAGGCTAACACTGAGAAGGGGTAAGGGCCCCTTCACCCGTACTAGACTGGGATACACCCCTAGGCTATCTGCCTAACTATTTATGCTCCCAGGTCCTCCGTTAAAGGCGCTAGGGGAGGCTACCTGACCTGGCACAGCCAAGGCGCAGGTCACGACACCCAGCCAGACAGACCAGTCCCTGAGAAGGACATCGGGTCAGAGGAGTTCCAGGATCTATCTGGCCGGTCTTCAGTCTTTACTGGCTCTTCGCTCTTCGGCTCCCCAACACTGCCTCGAGCTCTCTGGCTCTCCGCCTTTTATACGAATTGGACACCGAGGGGCCGGGCTCTGAGGGATCAAAATTTTTCCGCCGGCGACGCAAGGGCCTCTCCTCTTTAAGCAAGTGACGTCACGTGATGTTCGGGGCCGCCGCTCGTGCGGCGGTATCGTTACCGTCGACGGCCACTACCCATGGCCGTCAACCCATAGGGTTCACCCCGTATCCTTGTACAGGGCAATTGAGTTTTCAGGTCCATACGGCGTACAGCCGTTTCAATGCGGGCAACAAAAAATGTAATGTCTATTTGTTTGTGTTTCTCCCTTGTGATGGGACTTTGTAGGATGAATGTTGAGATTTTAAGGGGCACGGGGTGACCAATAAGGTCTGAGTTGGTCTGTAATAAGATAGGGCACTGATAAGAGGTTGACAGGTATGCACTACCAGTGGCATTAACCGGGGCGGCCGCTGAACTCGAACCGGGAAACCTCTCGCTCGCAAACAGCAACCGGCAAACGGCCGCGACCGACCGCCGGGCCGCATTGCCGCCCCTTGGCCTTGACCCCGGCCCATGTGGGAGACACCCCCTGCGGCGGCAAACCGCAGCGCCTCCGCACGCACTCACCTCCGACGTACAGACTCTTGCCGATGTCGACTTCGATTCCGTCGTTGGCCTACGAGGGGACGAGAGGACGGAAGAACTGCGTCGCCATTCTGCCTGCAAGGGCGCTAATGGCGACCGCGGCAACCACGTGCCGTCGTCCGCTTCGCCGGCAGCGGACGCCACGAGTTGCCGCGACGCCGATTGAGGAAGGGAGGAGCCGGGGACATCGATTGGCTCGCCGATCACGTCACGGTCCAAAATTTTACGTATATTTAAAAACTCAACGCCGCAAATTACTCAATCGCTATCGCACGCTCTCCCGACTGCGAACACAAGGCGGGACACCTTTTGCAAAAAGGGGTCTTCGGATTCGGCGAGGAAGTCCTGGGGAATTACGTAAATGGGAAACTAAATGAAATCCGCTGCTGGATGGAGACAGCGGATGGACGGAGACGCGGACGGAATGAACGCGTTCCCACTCACTTTCTGGATCAGGTGGTGCCACATGCCCAGCATGGGCTTGCGAATCAAGCCAGGTCCACTCGCCACGAACACCTGCAAAGAGACAATGACAAAGATCCCCACCGCCCCGTGGTGTAGCCACAGACCGCTGGGGCAAGTGCTATTCACGAGCACCTATGAAGGCCGGCACGGCACACAAACGGGTGAGTGGCCAGCACCACGCCCGGCTGCCTTTGTCTTAAATTACCTGTAATTGGGAATAGGTACAGAGTAGTAATTCTCGCCCCCTACTGGCAGACTATTGGCCACCCTGCAGGCCGGTGCTGAGAGACTTTGTGCCGCACAGGGACAATTGACACTGTTAGTCCTTTTCAAATGTTTGAAATGGGATGTGACACGGAGGCATTTAAGCACCTTATGAGTGAAAATTGTATTATTTTTATGATGATGATTACAGTGATCATAGATTTGACTGATAATGCTGATGATGATTATGCTGATGATGCTGATGATGATGCTGTTGATGCTAATGATGATGATCATGCTGATGATGCTGATGATGGTGCTGATGAGATGATGATGCTGATGATGATGCTAATGCTGTTGATGATGCTGTGTGATGTGATGAGTTGATGATGCTGATGTGATGTTGATGATGTTGATGATGCTAATGATGATGCTCATGCTGATGATGCTGATGATGATGCTGATGATGCTAATGATGATGCTGTTGATGCTGATGATGATGTTGATGATGCTGATGATGTTGATGATGCAAGCATCACCTGAACTGGCAGACCCAGAGTGACTATAATTGACTCCACCTTGGCCTGAAACTCATCAGCTCTCAGTTTCCCGCGAGCAATTCCCATCTGATTGGTGAAGAACACCACCTGACACACACACACACAGGCAGACAACAACCACAATTCATCACTAAGTGGCGGTGATGTCACGACGGAGATTGCGACAAGCTAGGTTAGGCTGAGTGTTACAGGGCATAGTAGTAGGTTTTACCCTTTCAACTGGTACAAAAACTGACACCTTTATACAAGGCATCATGTTTGCAATAACCACAATACAAGCAGTCAAAATGCAAACAAAAGAAACAACTCTGATGATGGTAATGATATGCACTGTCCTTCTGGCGTCATCTGGTCCAACACCAATGGAGACTAGGCTCTAAGAAAAGCTGTCTCAGGTGTGGACCAATCAACTTCAAGGACAGTGCATATCATTACCATCATCAGAGTTGTTCTTTTTGTTTGCATTTTGACTGCTTGTGTTGTGGTTATTGCAAACATGATGCCTTATATAAAGGTGTCAGTTTTTGTACCAGTTGAAAGGGTAAAAACCTACTACTATATTTTGCCACTGGTAAAGGAGATGTCTCATAGTGTTACAGGGCACTTTGATGGCATTGCGTGAAGTGGAAGGCTTGATGCTGAAAGGTCACGGGACAGACCCAGGTGCCATGGGTTGACCAACTGAGATGGCTGGCAGATGCACCAGCTGCCCCCCCTACCGTGCTAATGTGCTGCGTTTTAGTCGCCCACCGCTCCGCTCACTGTTGCGAGCGTCGCTCCTCCACTGCTGGAGGGCGCGACCGCCTAATTCTGTGCCTCTACGTCATGAAGCA